GACCCCACAACCAATCAGCACAGAGATACCCCAGATCACTAAAAAGCGATGACCCCACAACCAATCAGCAGAGAGATACCCCAGATCACTAAAAGGCTGTTAGCTTCCTACCTCATTCTTTTCAAAGCATTTTGCTCTGTCATCAGGAGACAGCTTCTCCGTTTCAGAAAGAAACTGCTTCAGGACAGATCCATTGTCTTTTAAAAACAAAGGCACAAAGTTTATACGCATTAAAAAAATGTAAAATAGAATGTACATAAATTAAATATAATGTAATTATTTGAAAACCAATAAAAAATACTTTAAAAAAAAACCACCAAAGGCAAAGATTAGTATTGATGCAATAATGCAACTGGGTTCACATTTAGTGTTGACTTAAGCCACTGCAAACTTTACCATGCTTTTTAGTCTGGTTCCTTACTGTAAGGAGCTGTGCCTTCTGCCTGGCCAGTGTGACCTCTCCATTCCGTCCAGGTCAAGCTAGCTCCTGCCTCTAGCTCCCTTAGCCCCCCCGTTTGCACGGCCAACTCCCAATCTCAGCTTACTACATTCTCACAGCACTGATCTCTTTGTCACACCGCATTCTTGAGAGATTTAGTGCCATCCTGTCTACTGTGTGCACAGCACTCAAGGACACAAATTAATGTTCATTTTCACTTATGACTCTAATAGCGTTCTTATTTAAACAGTTCCAAAACTCTCATTTTATTCCAGAGTAGAAAATTCAATCTCAATAATTCAATCATGCAGGCCGACTAACTATCTTAAAAATATAAAGATACTGCTCAGCCTACAACAACAACCTGTTAATATGTTATGTGCTGTTGAGTCGAAACCAACCCATAGTTGACACTTCAGAGGGTTTTCAGTGACTAAATTATGTGGGACGACACTGTCCATCCTGACGTAGCTTGTGGATTTAAACCACGTGCCTTTGGGACTGCAGCACAGCCAGGTGACCAGGGCTCTTTGTTCACTGTGAGTGAAAGCATTCTGTGTGAATGAATGAATGAATCAGTCTCTTTAACACTGATTACACAGCTAAAGCAAGAACAATTATCTTCTGAAAGTCCTTCATTTGACTGTCCAGCTCTAAATTTTTTAAAAGACAGTCAAATGAAGACCATTAAAAAATTTGAGGAATCCTCCTCACTTTATAAAAAAAAATGGCTCGGAATACACCTTTTGACACCATCACATTGCTATAGTGACAAGTTACAGGATCCCTGAGGGCCACAGGATGGCAGTACTCCAAAAAGGGTGATATGTGGTTAAGGAATGGAAGGAAGTCAACCTCTTATTTTAACACAAATCAGGCAAGCCAATATTTGAAACAGCTACTCAGAGCATCTGAACCCTTAGAGCCAGACATTCTCTTATTGCCACTGAGTTGGAAACAACTCATAGTTGGCCCCCTGGTGGTTTCTCAGAGGCTGTAAATCACACAGGAGGAGACTTCCCATCTTTCTCCCAAAGACTAGCTCATGAATTAAAACTGCCTGCTTTTAGACTGGCAGCCAACTCTTTCCCTCTTGTCATCAGAGCTGCAAGGCACTCAATTCCAAAACTAACCAGAAGTGCAACACGAACACACTACGAGTACAACCAAAGAGTAGTTGTTTGCCATCGAATCGAAATGACTCACTGCTGACTCTCCAGTGGGCTCTCAGACACACAGTAAACAGCATGTGAGTATGCTGCCCATTTTACTCCCATGGAGCAGCTGCTGGATTCGAACCACCTGCCTTCAGATCAGCAGCACAGCTCTTTAACACTAGGCCAACCAGAGCTTCCTACAACGTTGGTGTTTTTCAGTAGCATTAGGTCAGATCTGACTCACAGCTGACATTGCAGCAGGTTTTCAGAGGCAGTAAATCACATGGGAGGAGCATGGCCATTTCTCTCCAGTGAAGCAACTGGTAGATTTGAACAGCGAGCCTTTGGCTTGACAGCACAGCTATTTACCACTAAGCCAATTTTAAGTTAGTCAATATTTTTTTTAAGTCAGTACCTCTGAATAAGACAGTGGGTGGTGATCTTTACTACTGCCGCCTGTTTTTATAATTTTATTGGAACACAGCCATATCCACTTATTAACAAACAACATAGACATGTTCTCAAAGCCCAAAATATTTACTCTGACCCTCTGCAAAAGAGTCGGCTGAACATTAGTTTCAATTACATGCAATAACAGTGTTATTCTCATATATATGTATAGTTATTCCTTGACAACTGTTATGAGCTGAGCCTCGTCTCTTCTGTATCTTCCACAGCATTCAATAGGGTTCGGCACACTAAGAGCTAAAGTCTTCCACGTGATTCTGCTCACAGCTGACTTTTCTAAGTTTTTGGCCTAGAAAGCTGTTAGTGGCTTTTGACTGCTGTAACTTTCTACAAGACCCTTCACACAATGTGTCCAACAGGTTCTATGCTGTGTCACTTCTGTTTATGAAACAAAATAGTATTAAAGATGGGCCCTACCTGTTCTTTTACGTCTTAATAGCATCCCTAATGCTTCATGCTTTTTAAGAATTAAATGGACTAGTTTTGAGTTTCGTACACCCATGTTTATTGCAACACTATACTAGCAGAGAAATGGAAACAACCCATGTCCATCGATAGGTGGGAGAAACTTCAGTTTACACAATGGGAGTATTATGTAATGCTAAAAAAGATTGGAAATTTGTGCAGTACTGCTCAACATGGGTGAAATAAGCCACAGTAAGTGACACAAGCCAGCCATCATAGTCGAAAACCTTGGATGAGATGGATTGACTCAGTGACTGGGGTAGTGGGGGTAGGCGTGTCAGACGATGAGGTTGGCTCAGGATAGAGCAGGACTCGGAGCTGTTGTACACAGGGTCGTATGAGTGACAAGCGCCTCAACAGCATTTAACAAGACCATTAAAAAAGCTAAGCAGCAGTTTACACAGACTCTTAGAAGGTAAACAAAAGTGAGAAAGGAGTAAAAAAATTGTTCAATGTACTTTTTGCAAAGTTCACAAAAGTAGCTGGTACTGTATTTTTTTAAGATAGGGTACACCTCCCTAGTATTTTCATTTTCATTCTTAAGTTATAAATTGAAGGTCTAGGGGGAAAATTAAATAGTAGACTAAGAATAACTGGAATAAGCTGCTTCCGAGCTCTTTTTTCCTTCACTTTGGCTGTCTGCAAACCGGAAGAACGTCCAAGAGGTCCTACAGAACAGCTTCTCCTGCATCCACAGCAGGAGGCCAAGGAAAAGTAACGCTTGCTTCCATACAACCAGAACACACCCTCTGGCTTCTATGTAGATAAACAGTTGTTAGAAACGATTGAGTCATTACTAGCATCTCTCAATTTGACAGATGAACCGCTCCAGAAGACTTCCTTGGCTGTAATATTTATAAAAGCAGATCACCAGGTCTTTTTCCTTCAGATCCACTCGGTGGGTCTATGCCACTAACCTTCTGGTTAACATCATAGCACCACCAGAGTTCCTCAGGCAAGTAATGCTAAAGTAATTTTAAGGTAATGACTTTGCTGAACAGAACCTGTGGGATTGACAATGAAGCCGTAACTATTAACTCTTAGTTTTACATTTAAAGCTTAAACCAGAGGAGATTTTTGCCATCCTTACCAAACTGCAGTTTGTCCTGATTATTGGCCACTGCATGTATCAGTCCAACGGTCCCACAGGAGTTCCCAATGGTCTGCTTCATGAAGTACACTTTGGGACTGACTTCTTGTCCCTTCAGTTCTTCAATCTGCTTTTTCCTGAAATTCTCATGCTGTGAATGTAAAAGACATTCTACTTCAAAGAGGAAAGGCAAAGAACTAACAGATGGCAGCACAGCAAGTTCTATGACTTAAATGGAAATCCAAATGGGATGTGTGGCCGGGAGCCTTGGTTCTAGAACCAGCCTCTACCCAGGGACAGGCCCAGCCGCCTCTCACTCTAGCCTCTGGGGTTGAGCTCCGGAGACTCCACCCCATGCTGCAGTGCAGTAAGGGCCTTGGATAATGCCCAAGGCTTCGTCTAGACACCACCCCAACCTTGGAGCTTGAGATAGCTGGGTCATGAAGTCAGAAATCAAGCCAGTTCCTTGTTTTCTTTAACATAATGGTAGTAGTTCGCACTGGCATCGCAGACAAGCTTGATCAACTTAAGGGCAAATAAGAACACCAGCTAGTTTATTCTTCACTGAAAAAATCTTTCTCCTCACTCTATCCAAGTGTATTACTCTTAAATAAGCAAATAATCCAAGGCTGATTTTTTTCCCTACTATTTTCTTTTTGGTAGTAAAACAACTGGTCTAGGGTATCTAGCTGTGCTTTTTTTTTTTTAAATAAAGACTTCATCCTACAAGAGGGAGATGTGATGTTTGGTTTTGACAGTTCTATAGACAGAACTGTTTAGAGATTTGGTGGACAGGGAAAGACTGGTAAGAAATGCAACTAGAAGTTGGTTTTCCCCTTTTGCACGCTGACTTAGAAAACTTGTCTGGACCTTTCACTATCCATTACAACTTCTTAAGCCAAGTCGTTCCAACTTCTATCGATCTTCGAACAGGTTTCCAAGACTAAGTCTTAATGAGAGGAGACTGCCCATCTTTCTCATGCAAGCCGCTGATGGATTCGAACTGCAGTCCAGTATTTTATGTATTACATCACCCGGGCTCTGGGACTTCTGTCAGTCTTAAAGTCCCTGATATACAGCTTCTCAAACCCAGCTTGTATTTTTGGCAGATCTGTCTCTCAATGTTGCTGTTCCATGCTGCTGAGAACTTACTCATAGCTGACACTCCAGCAGGTTTTCAGAATCAGGAAATGGCATCAGAGGAGCCTGCCCAGGCTTTTCCGATGGAGCAGCTGGTGGGCTCGAACTGTGTGCCTTCAAGACTGCATCACAGATTCTTACCACTAAGCCACCAGAGCTCCCTTCTCAGTTAACAGAGCACACCAATTCTATAAAATCCCAATTTTCCGTAACCATTAAGATGCACACAGAACACCTGAAGTGTATTTACAATTCTTGAAGCTCTTTGCATCATCCTGGAGCAATGCAGGGAGCCTGCTCTGGGGCACCATCAGAGGAACCACATTTCTTCCACTAATTTACAATTCACTTCATCCCACCACTGGACTTGGCCAGTTTTGTTCCAATTACCAATATGTTCTAGCTTAATACCAATACCTACCAGACACTTGAATGGTTACTAATTGCCTGATAAGAATTTCCCCTTTCCTCGGTTAATTAAAAAGCTGTGTGTGTGTGTTTCAGGATTCTTTGCACTTTTGCATGGACTTTTTTTTTTATATATATATACACATGTCACTGTGGATTAAAAATTAATGGTTCTGAAGTGGCCGATTTAAGATTTCCTACTCTTTCCCAGAATTAAAACACAACGTTTTCTAAATTAACATTAGCGTGTCTTAAAGGCAATCTGTACAGCTCAACTTTTTTTTTTTTTTGCTCAGTGGTGAGCCCAGCGGATGTTTCATTAAGCAAGAAAAGGTCCTCAATAAATCTGATGAAATGAAGGGCAGCTCTTTCAAACATAAGCCATTCTAATCAGAACGTTCTCACAAGAGAACATTCTGTAGGAGTGGGCTTTTAAAAGGCAAACCTGGTGCTCTACTGCCTCCCGGAGGCCGTGCCTCTGAAGGCCGCTTAAAAAGCCCCTAGTCATCATGGTTCCTCTAAACAAGATGGTAAAGCTGAAGCTACACAACTGAAATGCGAGAGCCCGCTTGATTGAGTCAAAGGGAAAGCTACCTGCTGACTTGCATTATCTGACCACTCCTCTTTGGCTTAAGTAAGAGGCTTTAGCAGTAAAAACGCCCGCCTGTGGGATTCCACGAACAGCTTCACTAGGCATTTTTCAATCACAACATAAATCGTTTCTCAGGAAGGTCTGTAAGTTCCCGTAAGGATTGATTTACATTAAGAATACGTCTGGAATGCACAGCCACCCAATGCTGCTTCAGCTAAACTCACTAAGAGTTTTGAGAGACATCCCCAAATGCTAATGCTGCAAGTTTGCTAACAATAGGAGACTGACAGCCCCATACTAATTAAGTAGGACTCCACACATCACAAGATAATGAACTTTAAATGCCTTTTTGACACGGGGGCTTAGAGGTACACAAATCCTTGTGCACTTGTAGCAGGTGGGCCATCTGTAATGAAGACTGCTCTAAAATCCATCTACTCTATCCAGCTCCAAGGTCAGAGAGGAGAGGGGGTAGGAAAGAGAGGCAGAAGATCCCACAGAAACTATACTCCAGTACTAAGTTTAAAACACATATTCAAGAGCCTAAAACCCAAATGTTCATGTTTGGAGGATGGCGAGTAGAAAAAATTCCAAGATATAAATATAAATAAGCCCAGCCTCTGTAGGAAGTTCAAGTGCAACATGAGAGAACCTATTGTCTCCTGGGGGATTAGAAGAGCGGGGACCCCCGCCCCTCCATTTGATGGCAACATAGGAGTCTGAGAACAATGAGCTGACAGGTAGGTCATGGCCTTGAAAGAGGAATCGCCAGTCTACCATTCCTGGGAGGGCAGGGAAGGTTCAGACAAGGCTCTAGATGTCTATGGCTAATTGTAAAATTTCAATAAGCCCATGCATCGCTTAAGTTATCTGCTTGGGTAACTGGGAAGAACAGAGGATATTCCTTTAAATTTAAGGTAATGAATAAAAAGGTACTGAGTAATATTACATAGGCGTCCTAGTGAGATGGGACCACGAAGGGGCAGGGCAGGGCTCCTCCCTTCCTGGGAGGCGCGTCCATACTGCCCCGCAGGCGTCGGGCCAGGTTTACGCAGACCTCCTCACCACGCTCAGGTTTGCGGGAGGGCAGCACGCACCGCAGGGGGTCCGCCCACCCGGGCCCCACGCCCTACCTGAGCGGTGAGCGGAAAGAGCAGCAGCAGCGCGCACGCAGGAGCTGGCACCGAGCCCAGAGACTCCTCCTCCAGCCCCAGCACGTCCACGAAACGCCACTGCCCGGCGACCCCCAAGCGGGCCAGCACCTGCGGAGAAGACGCACAGACAAGGCCGGGCCACCTGCTCTGAAGGCGGGACCGCGCCCTGGGCGCCCCCACCCGAGCCCCGCCCCGCTCCCCACCCCACACCCCAGCCGGCGCAGTGACACAGCACAAAGCGCCGCGGCCCACACGTGGCTCGTCCCCGCGACGCCAGGCTCCGAGGTGACTGCGCGCGCCACGCCCTCGGGGGCCCCGGCGCTGGCTTCCAGCCGCGGCGTCCTCCATCCTAACCCCACCCTACCCCACGCCAACCCACCCCGCCCCGCCCCGGCTCTCGGGGTGTCACCACCCACATGCAGGGGCAGACAGAGGCCGCCCGGCCCCGCTGCCTGTGGAGCGCGTAGGGCGAGGCTCGGTCCCCACGAAGTGCAGACGCTCCCGGGGGAACCCGCTCAGAGGCGGTGCGAGACGCCACTCACTTTGTTCAGCATCTGGAAAGCAAATACAAGGGTGGGGGAATAAAACGTCAAAATTGGTCCGTTCCCCCCACGCCTGCGCTTTCGGGGTAGCGGTGCACCTGGGCGCTCACCTCCGGGTTGATCTCCATCGGTTTGAGCTGCATCTTCACGAAGACCAGGAAGAGACTCAAGCGCGAGAAGAAAAACAGTGAGCGGAGCCGCCCAGGCTGCTTCTATAAAGCGCCGGCCTGACGCACTGTGGGGCCTGCGCAGGGGGAGCAGGGGCAAAACCAAGCGAGGGGGAAACGGCCAGGCGCCGCCAAACTCACACAAACCCCCCATGCTAAGCGCCAAGTGGTACAGCCGAGCCCCCTAACCTTGCAGTCTCACTCGCTGGTGAGCTAATCCATTGGTGGTGGATGAGGGTTTGGTTGGTGGATATTGCTTGAGTGTTTCGTGCGGTCCTTTTGATGCAGTCTTTTTTTGCAAAGTCTTCCACCTTTTTCATTTTCTGTTATCCCAATCTCCCGGTCGTGCTGGCTCCATGAAGCATTTTTAGATCAAATTCAACAGGTATATACTTAATATGATTGAAATTATATTACCCAAATCTCCAGCAGTTTGTATTTAACTTCAGACAATTGACCCTCCATATTCAATCAGACCAATACTGAGGGTCGTTTTTAATTGACTAACGAATAAAAAAGAATCTGGCTTATACAAGTGAATCAACCCATTAGCAATGCTGGTGTGATGTGACTCCGTGGAAACACCAGTAATGAAATGAGAAAATGGAAGGAACCTGGCGTTGGGGCCATTATACATGGTACAGAGCAGGTAGGCAGAGACTTTAGCAGACGGAGCCAGAGATAAGATAGGTAAGATCTCCAAAGAATGGGCGTACAAGCATTTTGTAAAATAGGAGCATATAAAAAAGAAAATGCAGCATTCACAGTAGAGTAATCCCAGTGAAGAGAGGGCTGGAAATGAAACACATTGTTCTAATGATGTTAGGTGATGGTTTTTCTCCTTCTGCCAGCACATTAAAAAAATGGAGGGAGAAAAAGCATATGCTAAAAAATAAATTAATAGATGGGGGGAAAACATATTAGAGCCTGGAATGCTAAACCTCAGCAGAAATTGAGACTTGTAGAAATGATAAGATAGCAGAAAAGTTGGTTTGTTGGTTTTGGGGTTTTGGTTTCTTTTAAACATACACAGAATGTCATAATGACGATGAAAAACGAGACCTGTTATTTAGGGGATCAAAGTTAATAGATGACAGAAGGAAATATCTTTTTATTTTAAAGTTATTCCCTCTCTGTTGCAGTAGGTGGCTTTTCTGTGCTCTCTTTTAATCTATAAAGAATCCAATGAAATGTATTAATGCCATTTTGAAAATGAGAACCCAAAGCTTGTTGTAAAGTTGTTCTTGAGTGTCTCTAGTCTTTTTTGACTCATAAGAACCCCATGTGATGGCATACAAATGCCCCTTCAGGTATTCTAGGCTGTAGTCTTTATAGTAGCAGATGACCATATATTATGGATTAAATCGTGTCTTCCCAAAATATGTGATGTAAATAAATCCTAACTCTTACACAGAAAGAGAGGTCTGGTGGTGTGCTGCATGGGGAGTTGCGTGCTAACCCAAAGGTGGCACCTTTCTCCTAGTTCAAATCCACCAGCAATTTACAGGAGAAAGATCGGACAGTCTCTCCTCCCTTACTATTTACAGTTCCTGAAAACCCATTGCAAGGTCCATTATGAGTCAGTTATGACTAAACTATGAGTACAGTTGACACAGGTAGTCTCAGATTTAGCATGTATTTTAGTAACAAGGACTCATACTTAAAATTGTTTGCCCCCCTTTTTGTCTCTCTATTCAGTGTTACAACATGAAATTTGCTGATGTTATTATTCTCACGTCAACAAATAAAGATGACATTTACAAAGATATTGATAGTAAAAGGTAATAGTAATAAAAATTTTCAACATGAAAACAAACAAGATACTTGATATGAACAACCCAATTATGAATCAGGGATTATCTGTACCTGTTGGAACGAATTCAATGGCAAAAGGATTGTTTTGTTTTAAACCCATGGTTATAATTCCATTTTGGAATAGATTTTCTTTGTTTTGTTAATAAGGCAATATCCTTGTAATTCAAGTCCATCAATTTTGAAGTATAAAAAGAGGAAATTGAGCAAGTTGGTGTGGGGACAGATAGGTGATACTTCACATGAAATCTCCAACAGGATGCTGATGCTGAAAATAATCTTACCCAGAGCCAGAAAAGTAAGAATATAGTGAGTAACAGGATAATATCCATACACATACAAGGAAGCCCAGTGAATACCACCCTCACTCAAATATATGCACCAACCAGAGCCAAAGAGGAGAAATAGAAGATTTCTACCAACTTTTGCAGTCAGAGATTGATCAAACATGCAATCAAGACGCATTAATAATAATGGGTGACTGGAATGCAAAAGTTGGGAATAAAGAAGAAGGATCAGCAGTTGGAAAACATAGACTTGGTGACAGAAATAAAGCTGGAGATAGAATGATAGATTTTGCACAATCAATGACTTATTCATTGCAAATATATTTTCTAAGGGACACATACACAGGTTATACACATGGATTTCACCTGATGGTAAGCATAGGTATCAGATCGATTACATCTGTGGAAGGAACCACTGGAGAAGCTCAATCTCAGCTATGAAAACTAGGCCAGGTGCTGACTGAGGAACAGATCACCGACTACTCATAAGCAAGCTCAAGCTGAAGCTGAGGAAAATTAAATCAAGTCCGCAGGGACCAAAATTTGACCTTGAGTCTATCCTACGTAAGTTTCAAAAAAACCCTCAGGAACGGGTTTGAGGCCTTGGACATTAATGAGCAGACCGGATGAGTTGTGGGAGTATATCAAGAATATCATCCAAGAAGAATGCAAGAGGTCATTACAAAGACAGGGGAGGACGAAAAGGCCAAGATCGATGTCAGAAGAAACTTTAAATATTGCACTGGAGTGCCAACAAGCCAAAGCAAAGGGAAGAAATCAAGATATTAGAGAGTTGAACAGAAGATCCCAGAGGGCAACATGGAAAGACAAAGTAAAATATTACAATAAAATGTGCCAGGAGCTGGAGTCAGAAAATCAAAAGGGCTGAACTTGTTCAGCATTACTTAAGCTGAAGGAACTGAAGAACTCTTATAAGCAGTTTAAGTGTAAGAAAAATAGATTAATTTTGCTGTAACACATGAGATATCTTAAGTTGTATTTTGCTGTTGAAAAATATTATAATGAATTTGATGCTTAAGTATAGAAATAAGAATATTTATTAAAAAATACACTAGCAGTTTAAAATACCAAAATGGGCCTCTTTGAGGTCTACAGCCCCACTAACCACAACAGTTGCAGACCCTTGATAAGGAGCTTTAACTGGATAATGCCATGTTGCCAAGGATAGAACATGATTGGTCAAACTTGTGTTGCTTTGGGACTAATGTAATTGAATGAAAACTCAAAGTTGAATGTTACTGGTTGAATGTGATGTAGCATCTAGTAGCCAAGCTAAGGGTATTTATACCCCAGAGAGCTCACCCTGAACTCACTCCACTTCAACAGGGAACACTGAGCTGAACACTGAAGACCCAAAGGCTCTTTTTAGAGCCAAGAACTCTAGCCTACACTGATGGACATGAGCTACCGAGACAGTGCAGGATTCTGCCCCCACCTGTGGACCCTGGCTACATCAAATTGCTGAACTAGCTGAGAACCCCTTGCTACATTGACCTATTGAACTAGCAGAGAATCCCCCGACTGCACCAATGACCATGAGAGGCAAAAGAAGGCGAGTTGGGATCCCAGGGCGAGTGAGTGTCTCCACTGTTGATGAATCAACATGTGATGAAGTGATGAATTGCAATGTAGACAAATTTCAATTAACTGTTTGATGCTTGTTATGAATCGATGAATCAACATTTTGTGATGAATTTATTAATTGCAATGTAGGTAAATTACAATTGTTGCTATGAATTAATTAATAAATTGTAATTCACTTTTGTAATATGTCTGAGTAATTAATTAAGGCTCAAGGCTCATGACAACAAATTCAAACCTTGAGTTGCAGTATTTAAGGACATAATATTAAACGATCCAGGAAGCATTAAAAGAAGATGGAAAGAGTATACAGAGTCGTTGTACCAAAAGCAATTGGCAGACACAGAAGAATTTCATGAAACAACGTATGAGCAAGAGCCTGTGGTGATTAAGGAAGAAGTTCAAGCTGCTCTGAAAGAATTGGCAAAAAACAGGCCCCAGGAATTTATGGCATACCAATTGACAAACAGACGCTGCCCTGGATGTGCTCATCAAGTTGTTCTAAAAAATCTGGAGGACAACCACCTGGCCTACTGACTGGAAGAGATCTATATTTGTTCCCATCCCAAAGAAAGGTGACCTGAGAGAGTGTGGAAATTATCAAACCATATCATTGATATCACATGCAAGCAAGATTCTTCTCAAAATTATCCAAAAACTACTGGAACAGCACATCAACACAGAGAACTGCCTGAAGTGCAGGCTGGATTTCTGTCATGGCAGTAGGGATATTATAGCTAGTGTCAGGTGGATCTTGGCTGAAAGCAGAGTTCCCAGAGGAATGTCTATCTGTGTTTCATTTACTATACAGAGGCATTTGATTGTGGGGATCACAACAAACTGGCTGACTCTGAGAAGAATGGGAATCCCAGAACACTTGATTGTCCTTATGTGAAACCTATACTTGGACCAGGAGGCAGTCATCAGAACAGAGCAAGGAGACGTGGTTCAAAATTGGGAAGAGGATGTGTCAAGGATGTGTCCTATCTCCATATCTTTTCAATATATATGCAGAACAGATACTCTGGGAGGCTGCGCTCTATGAGGAGAAACATGGCATCAGGATTGGAAGTAGTCTCATCAACGATCTGCATTATGCAGATGATAGAACCCTGCTTGCTGAAACTGAGGAGGACCTGAAGCACTTGCTGCAGAAAGTCAAGGATTGCAGCCTTCAGTATGGATTGAACTCAATAGCAAGAAAACAAAGAATATCACCATTGTGCTGATTGGCAGCATCATGATAGATGGTGAAGAGTTTGAGATTGCTGACAACTTCAGTTTGCTTGGTGCTACAATCAACACTCTTGGTACCAGCAGCCAGGAAATTAAAAGATGAATTGCATTGGGAAAGTCTTCAATGATGTCT